ATTTTCTTTAAAATTACGTTAAATTTCGTTTCTAATTTATTTTTTTTCAAAAAAATCAATCAAACTAAATTAAAATAAAAAAATTACTTATTAAAATATTTTTTAAAATAAAAAAAATCATCCAAGTCCATTTTCGGACCCTAGTATTACATATATATAACCTAGTTACAAAAATTAGACAAAACATTATGAATTAATTCTCAAAATACTAAACTTTAGATTATCTATTTTTTTTTATAATTGTTAGAATATTTTTGTATCTATTTGTTTTTATACCAAAGCTAAATAATTTTTGAAACGAGATTTTAAGAATTGAACTTTCTTATATTTATTTCGTATTCTAAAATTATATTTTTAAATGATTATTAATAAAATTATGCTTAAAATAATGAAATACAAATGTTAACGAGGCTCCGGATGAGTTTGATCAAGAATTATTTCATATGCATACATATAATATTTATATATATATCGATGAACTTAGCATCTACTATGCCGACCACTGACAAATTTGATCCAAGTATGCATATAAATATATTTTTCTTCATATTCATACATATATATATATATACATACATATATATATACCGATTATCATATAGAGGGACTCAGCATCTTCTGTGCGGACCACCCACATATTTGATCCAACTATTATATATAAATACACTCTTCTTTGGTTCAATTATTTATTTTTTAATGGTTCGATACGTGTGCTTAGAGGTTAACAATTGAGAAAAAAAAAAAAAAAAACTATAAAAACATAAATTTCTCATCTTTGCGAGTTATCAAATCGGTTTATACTTCGATGATAATATTATTTAAGGTTAAAGCATTATTCTGCTTAATAATTGTTAAAGTGAAAATTATTAATTTTTAAAAATATAATTTTAAACTATTAATAAAAAATGACTTAAATTCTCAAACAAAACTTAACAAAAAAATATTTTATGTTGTAAAATTATTGTATATATATAGCTTACTCTTTAAAAGAATACTATGTTATATAATATATATGCACATATACAAGGATCTACATGGGCTTTTGGATGACCTACACGGGTTGTCTTATTTGGATCACGCATCCTCCACCATGAATAGAATCACATTAGTGCTTCTTACACTGCATTAATCAAGAATTTTCTGTCTAATTGTGATTAATCGTACATATATTTTAATTCTTCGCTTCACAAAATATCAATTAATTTGTTAAAAAGAAAGTAATTTAATTAATGACTTAGGATTAAATAACCGATATATCAGATATGGACTGACCACCTCTGTTGTTTCTTATTCGTTTTTTTGGGGGGATCTAATTCAAAAATTTCCTTAGGCCAAAACTTCTGAATTTGAACACCACAGATGAATCATGTATCTTTTGGATTAAATAAAATTCTATCATAAAGTTAGAGAATGGACCAATAAATTAAATAAATCTACTTTTATCTATATACATATAGACACATAAATATATATACCTACTCTCAGATCGTAGTTACATAATCAATTAATTAATTAATTAATTAATTTTATGAGAAATGTGAAGGACAAACGAAAAACCGAAGATGTGCTCAAAAGCTGCCATCCTATATTGCTTGGCCAGTGGCCGCTGCATCATAATCATCATCATCTATGGCGTTGCATCATCCAGAGAGCAAGAACGAGGAGGTTCCCTTCTTGTTGGCATCCCACAGGTATAATTAACTGATTCCAAAAAAATATAATTACCTAGTCATTCACCATGACCTATACATATATACATATAGTAATAATATAATAAGATGGCCGCCTGGATAGAATCTTAGATTTAAACTCAGCAAGCTGTAAGCATATATTTGTCCTTTTACCTAAATATAAAACAATATTTCTCTCCCAGTTTGTTTTCAGACCCATTGGTTTCCACTGAAATTATGGAGACTGTTCCTACCAAGACCGATGATCAGCAATCTTCAAGCAAGAAGAAGGGTGGCCTCAGGACCATGCCCTTTATCATAGGTAATATATATGTGTGTGTGTCTGTGTGAATAGAGTGACAAAGAATCTTATACATACATATATGAATGGTTGGTGCAGTAAATGAGACATTTGAGAAGGTGGCGAGCTTTGGGCTTCATGCAAATATGATATTATACCTGAAAAATGAATATCATATGAGTAATGCAGCAGGAGCTAACGTGTTGTTTCTGTGGTTAGCTATTTCGAATTTAACGCCCACCTTTGGTGCCTTCTTTTCTGATTCTTACTTGGGCCGCTTTCGCGTCATCGCTCTCGCAAGTCTCGTTACTTTTATGGTACATCACTCTGTCTATCTCTCTCTCGTGTTTAATCTTTTCTTCAATGTTATCATTTAATCTTTTCCTACTCAACAAAATTAATTTAAACCCTTTTTAACAAATTTCTGCAGGGAATGAGTACGTTGTTTTTAACAGCAGTTATTCCACAAGCAAGGCCTCCTTATTGCGACGTCCAACTAGAGGAAATCTGTAAATCCGCACGACCACCGCATCTTGCTCTTCTCTTTTTATCGTTTGGTCTGATGGCCATCGGAGCCGGAGGTGTGAGACCCTGTTCTTTGGCATTTGGAGCAGATCAACTTGACAAGCCTGAAAATCCCAACAACGCCAGAATCCTCCAGAGTTTCTTCAACTGGTACTACGCTTCTGTTGGCATCTCTGTCATGATTTCAGTCACTGTCATAGTTTATATCCAGGACAAAGCTGGTTGGGCTGTTGGGTTTGGTGTCCCTGTTGTGCTTATGTTCTTGTCGGTCGCCATGTTCTTACTAGGTTCTTCACTGTATGTCAAAGTGAAGCCTAACAGGAGTTTATTCACGGGGTTTGTCCAGGTCATTTCCGCCACCTGGAAGAACAGACACTTAGCTTTGCCTCCCACCATTTCTAATGGAATATGCTATTATCAGGGAGACTCCATTAATCTTCTAGTCCCATCAGACAAGCTCAGGTACAGTATTACTCAATTTCATAAACAATATCGATCTCCTATTTTTTTTTTGTCTCTACTCCAGTTGGCTTATCCTCCACCAGTATCTATACTACACACACACACACACACGTTAAATATAGGTGGCAGCATTTGGTTTTAATTACGGGTTTGTGAAATACTTCTCCTCAGTTACCTAAAATAAAATAAAAAGTAATTTTGTCAAAAATTAAAATGAAAATATGCTTATAAGTTTACCATAAAAATTATAATTTATAGTTTTGTAAAACAATTTTAGTTTTTAATAAAACATTATATTTAAAATTTCAATTTTATTTTTCTAAATACATAAATTTTATCTTCTTAAAAAATGATACCAATTAAATAACTGTTTTTTACCCAAACATAGTTATTGTGAAATAACAAGAACAAAATACACCTAATAAAATTTGGGATTAATTTATTTAGGGTCCTAAACAAAGCTTGCATCATCAAGAACCCCGAGAAGGAATTGGACGCAGATGGGTTTGCTGTCGCTCAATGGAGTCTGTGTTCGGTGAAACAAGTAGAGGAGTTAAAAGCACTAATCAAAGTTCTTCCTATTTGGTCAACTGGGATCATGATCGCCGTAACCATAAGTCAACACTCTTTCCCAGTTCTCCAAGCCACCACCATGGACAGACGCTTGGTCGCCGGCTTCAAGATTCCTGCCGGCTCCTTCTCTCTCTTTGCAATCATCACGTTGACGATCTGGGTAGCCATCTACGACCGAGTCCTGGTCCCTTTCATATCAAAATTCACCAAAAGACCACGAGGACTCAGCTTCAAACAACGCATGGGAATTGGCCTAGTCATCTCCTGTCTCAGCACTTCCACCGCCGCACTGGTGGAGAGAAACCGCCGTGCCGCCGCACTCAAACAAGGATTAGCAAACAATCCTCTAGGCCTTGTCAACATGTCGGCAATGTGGCTTGCTCCACAGTATTGTCTTTCTGGGTTGGCAGAGGCTTTCAACGCAATTGGACAAATAGAATTCTACTACTCTCAATTTCCTAAAAGCATGTCAAGCATTGCAGTCTCTCTTTTTTCATTGAGTATGGCCATGGGCAACCTTGTGGGCAGCGTCATTGTTGGGGTCCTAAATCATGTGACCCATAACCCCAGTTGGGTAACAAACAACCTTAATCAGGGTCATTATGACTACTACTATTGTGTTCTCACAGTTCTGTGTGGGATTAATTTCTTATATTATTTAATATGTAGTTGGGCTTATGGGCCTTGCGAAGGTGAACAAATTTGTGATAAAGACAAAGCCCACCATTAATTAAACTTGCTTCTTAAATTATGATGATGTTTACATCAATATTTAACTATAGTTTTTGGACGAAATAAAAAAGTATGTACAGATACGTTTCCATATACTATTATAAATTATTATTGTTTTTATGCGCATGTACTCTACATTCTTAATTTATCACTATAAAAAATTATCTAGTTAAAAAAATATACTTAATTTTATTTTTCATCTGAAAACAAACAAAATCTATTCAATCAGCGAGGAAATCTCATATGTTAGAAAATTATAGTTTATATTAAATGACAAAAAATCACTGCAGATGCTATGAGATTGCAATTAGTATTCAAATAGTAGATGGTTTCTCAAACCCTAATTTAAAATTTATGAAACTTCTTAGAATTTAATACAAATTTTTTATTTCCGAACTTCATAATTCGTTTTTTATATAACCGATAAACTCAAAAATGTAGTATATGACAAAATCTCTATCTGCACAAATTTTCAACCACAATACTATCAGCTTCAGCTTCCTAAAATTACTCATTGGAAATTAAGGTTTAAATCATTCTTTTTGTATAATACCTAATTGATTCTAAAAATTCAATTCTATTAGTCAATAACTCTTATATACCTAGAAAGTAAACATGTAGAACTATGATTTAAAAGAAATAATCAATTAAAAGGGTTAACAAAAGATAGAAATTCAAAATTCTAAAATTGCTATTGCAATTTGGGTTTTCTTTTCAGTTTTAAATACTCAAAAATATGTAACTCTCTCAATTTTTTATATAAATAATACAATATTAATTGTTATCGGACCTGTATAAAACAAGCTGACCCAGCCCACACTAAAATACCAAAATGCACCATTTCACTAAAGAGTGATCTGGTGCATTCGAGCTCAACTAAGCTCAAGAACAGGACGAGCAGACCTACCTACCTACCTACTCTCCTCCCTGCTGCCACAGACACAATATCGAAAGCCTCTATTTTTTCTCTATTTTCTCGCACTTTTTTCTTCTTGTTTTGCAGGTAAACACTTGCACTCAGCATTCAGCCACTGCTGTGAAGAGCTTCTCTCTTTGTCCACCCGCTTTAGCGTCTTCTGCGGCCACCGAACACTACCTACGTAAATCTGGTATTTTTCTTCAACTTTGTCTACATTTTGTGACGGCCTGCAATTCCCCAATGAGAAACTACGTCGTCAAACACAATTAAACCAGAAAATATAATATAAATTTAAACTAAAATATAGTAGAAACTATTCATTCATTCTACAACATGTAACATAATTTATACTATGAGGTTGCAAAATTCTATAGAGTCCATAACTGGAGTAAAACTCACCAGATGACAATTAAAATATGAAATTTCTGATTTGGCTGTATAAATTATCTTCTTCGGTCTGATCTGGAAAATTATTAAAATTTGAATAGAATGAGCAAAACAACAAGCTCAGTAAGTATATCAAATAGACTACATCTTAAGCATGTGACATACTAACATACAATCAATCAAAAATATAAAACTTTTCTTTCTCTTTATGTTTGAAAACCATGAAATGCAGAAATATTTCATCTTATTTCTCATCTTTCACCGTTCCCCTTAACTTCCTTCTATCTAGTCTTTTTTTCTCACTATTCTCCTTTACTAGTTATTTCTCAAAATTCTTCTTTCTTATTATTTCCTCATCATCCCCCCAATTTCTTTCCTTTCTTAATTTTCTGATTGTAACCGTTTATATTACACACTATTATCATATCACATATGGTTCGTAAACCATTCTCATCCACAAGTTTTTCTCTAATCCATATTTATCCCATAAATTCACATACTAGAATTTTTTACGAATTTTCGGTCAAATCAAGACATCTGTAACCCCTCAGCAAGTAAACCTGATTCTCGATTTGCCCTACCACAATCATCAAGTTAAAGTTATTAAAGTTTTGGAATTTTCTTTGAGATTACACGGGTGAATCCGTTATCCAATTGGTTCTATTATGATATCAGAATTCTCACTATCATAAGATGATGCACTCACACAACCAAAACACACATTGGTCACAGTAATCTATCACTAGGTTACCCAGAACATAACACACACTCCAAGCACATCTGGAAGGGTTTCCATCCATCTACGGATAGGGTTCACCACACCATTAAATTTCTGTAACACCCACAAATTTTTTGTTTTAATTAAATAATTATTAAATATAATTTTTATTATTTTATTTTACTTTATTGTATTTTGTTTTATTTAATTTAGAGTAAAAAAATGAAATAAAATTGATGGAGGATTTTAATTAAAAATAATTTTGGAAAAAATAAGTGAAAATTTGGGTTCTGAGAATATTTTTGAAAAAAAAAATCAGAAAACATAGCCAAAACGTAATTTTAAAAAGTTTCGCTACGTCAGACGCGCAGTCAGCAGCCCTGACCAACCAAGATATGCCAAGTGGCAGAGACACTGACGTAGGAGGCCATGTGGGCGATCTGCATGCCCGCAATCGAACGATTGAGGTCTGTTCCCGCGCGCACTGACGGCCTGAATGCGCTCCCTCCCAAATACGATCAAACGGCCAGATTCAAATGTGATCGAATGGTCCAGATTGGATCGCGATGAACGGCCCAGATTGGATCGCGATGCACGATCTAAATTAAATTCCTATTTAATCGCGATCGGACGATCCAGATCAAACGCGATAGACGGCACGGATCAAAAGCAGATGGATATAAATAACCCCCATCTGCACCAAACCTTAACCCTACCCGCTAGAACCCCTCGCCGGAGAAGACGCCCAGCCGCCGGGGAGTCGATTGCCACCACCTGTCACTGCACCGGAACCCTTTCCGACAGCAAAAAAACGTAAAAACCTTCCCCTTTTGCATGAAATCCAATTTTAAGCTCACCAATGGCCAAATCAGAGCAAAAAGACCGGCCAATTAGCCGAAAAATATCAACAAAATTTGCACCACCGCTGCGAGAAATTTCACAAAATGTCTTCAATGAGGCCATTCCCGATTCCCTTTTTGCGTAATTTTTCCACTGTTGTGATCACCGTTTTCTTCTCTACATGTTGACTGAAGCAAAACTCCCAACCGCAACGTGAGCCGGAGGAGCCGTCGCACCGGATAGCCTTGTCGTCGATGAGTTTCGATTTTTCATATTTTTTCGACCAACCGAGGTCCTTTAACGTATTTTCTCATAAAATTCGATGCAAAATCGGCCAAT